CGATTTCATTACTCACTCCGACCTATTCTAACTATTGGGTTGTCGGAAAAGTCATGACGCATTTTTGCAACCAATGGCGTTAGTTCATTGTTGGAAGTACTAGAGTCATTGGCATCTATGTTATTGCTATGTCATTTGATAGCTGACAGTTCTAGCTTTATTCTAAAAAAAAAAAAAAAAAAAAAATTGAGCGATTTGGTTGAGTTTTGGAGATTTTATAACAAGTTGAAGAGGGAAACCAAATTGTGCATTTTCGCCATATATTACTGTTTTACTTCCGTAAAAGCAAGAACGCGCGTCAAACTTGTGAAAAGTTGCGTAAAGTTTACGGTGACAATGCTATACAAGAACGTCAGTGCCAACGATGGCACGAAATTCCGTGCTGGTGATCTCAAAGACGCTCCTCGGTCAGGGAGACCTATCGAGGTTGATGATGACATAATAAAGGCATTGATCGAGTCAAACCTACGTTACACGAGAGTTTGCAGAAACATTGAACATCCATCATTCAAGCGTTCACGACCATCTGAAGAAGCTGGGATACGTAAGCAAGCTCGATATTTGGGTTCCTCATGAACTCAAAGAAGTTCATTTGACGGCGCGTATAAACATCTGCGATATGCTCATTAAACGTGAGGAAAACGATCCTTTTTTGAAACGACTGATAATAGATGATGAGAAGTGGATTGTTTACAACAAACGGTGCGCAAACGGTCTTGATCCCGACGTGATGATTTGCCTCAAACGACATCGAAAGCAAACATTCATCAGAGGAAGGTTATGCTCTCAGTGTGGTCGGATTTTAAAAGTGTCGTGTTTTTTGACCTCCTACCAAGGAACCAAACAATCAATTCGAATGTGTACTGTCGACAATTGGACAGTTTGAACGAATCCATCATCCAGAAACGTCCAGAGCTCGATAATCGTAAAGGAGTTGTGTTCCATTACGACAACGCGAAACTACACCAGTTTGATCACCCGTCAAACATTATTGGAGCTTTGATGGGATGTGTTGCCACACCCATCATACTCGCTTGATCTTGCGCCGACAGACTTCCATTTGTTTCGCTCTCTTCAAAACTCCTTGCGTGGTGTAACATTTAATTCAGATGAGGCTGTAAATCAGCACCTTGTTCAATTTTTCGCCAATAAAGACAGGTTCTTCTATGAACGAGGAATTATGAAGTTCATTGAAAAATGGCAAAGGGTTATCGAATAAAACGGGCAATATATCATTGATTGATCTTTATTCTTTATATAAATAAATGACCT